CACTAAAATTAAATATTAGAGCTTATTAGAGAAAATTCACAGCTCTGATACTAGAGTTAGGAAATGGAGGTGTCCTTTAATGTCACTACCTCTTTCTCTTCTGCTATTTACCTTCTTTTAACTAACTTACACAATTATTTCTTGATTTTTACTTTTATTGTATACATTATCTGTTGTATCTCTCCAATAGTCAATTTGAATTTTACTCTCTTCTACATGTTTCAGTAAAAACAAAAACATTTTACTTTCTCCTATCTTCACAATATAATTTAGTGACAGCTTTTGGTTGTATTGGTATTTATTATTTATTTTAAGTTTAAACATTATTTACTGCCAACTGAAGTAATACCACATTCATTTTCTTGTACAGTGATTTAGATGAATCATTCCCCTATGTGGTCATATACATATATTTTTTCCACTAATTTATCTCTAGTTCTTTGACAGAATTTGGAAACATCTATGAAATAGTCTATATCAAATATTCTATTTTTTGGTTTCTCCTAGATTTCTATGTCTTTCTATCTGCATGGGTTGATCTCTACGTATTTCTCCAAGATACTCTTACCTTTTTGTAAGCTATTTCCCTCATTTCTTTTCCAGATTGTATTTCCTCTTTATTGGATATCATATCTTTATCGCTCTCCCCCTGCCCCACTTTTGTGTAGCACATAAATATGTGGAAAGGAAAGATTTGAGAACATTCAGATCTAAAGGCAAAAGGTTGCAAATGAGGGAGCATAAAATGAAGTAAAATTTTTCACATTGTGGAATCTCTATAACCAATTTTGATTGACAGTATTTTAATTGGAGGAACATTGGCAAATTGTTCTAAATGATTTTACCTACATCATCAGCTTCCCCCTCTCTTTAATGAGAAATAAGTCATCCTCTGTTTATAGTTTAAACTTAGTTTAAATTTTCCTAGAGGCTTTAAAACAGATGGTAGCATCTGCTTAAAGCTGATATGGTTATTAAAGTAGAGAAGTATCTAACCACTGAAGTTTTAATTCAGTTGATATCAATCCTTCATATATATATAAAAAAATGCTTGAAAGTATGCTATGAAAATGTAAATAACATAGAATTATGAAAAGGAAGATAGATACAAGCTGATAATACATACTTTCTCTAACAAGACCAAAAGTTTTTGACTTAATTTGATTTGCTAATATAGGTATATTTCCTCCCATACTTTGAAAAATTCTTTCTTTCCAGTGATTTCTTATTTTTTCCCCTTTTTCTTTAGCTTTACAACAGAAATGCTTGCCATTGGTGTCTTGTGCTGTTCTCTGACTTATTTTTAGCATATACAACTGAAGACACTCTCAACACTAGCTGGTTCACCTGTAAGTTTATGTATATCCCTTAAGCTCTGCAAACTAAAGGTCCAGAGAAGAAAATCAGTTATTCATTAGTCCACCTTACTTTATTATTAGGTATATGTGACAGTTAATTTTATGTGTCAACTTGATTGGGCCATGGCATCCAGACATTTGGTCAAATACAGTCTGGATGTTTCTGTGAAGGTATTTTTTACATGAGATTAGCATTTAAATCAGCCAACTTTGAGTAAAGCAGACTACCCTCCGTAACGTGAGTGGGCCTCATCCAATCATTTGAAAGCCTTAACAGAAAACAGATTGAGATCCCCCAAGAAAGAGAGACTTCTGCATCCAGATTGCCCTTGGAATCAAACTACAACATCAGCTTTTCCCTGCATTGCTAGCCTGCCAGCCCACCTGGCAGATTTTGGACTTGTTAGCCTGTACAGTCATGTTAGCCAATTCCTTAAAATACATTTTTCTCTCTGTATGTATACATACCCTGTTGGTTCTGTTTCTCTGGAGAACTCTGAATAATACAGTGCAGCAAGAGTCATACTGCCAGTTTAAAGACAAAATTTAGAGATGTAGGAAATTTTTCTAAAAAAGAGTAAGTGTTAGTGTCACAGTTTAAACTTAGGTCTCTTTTCAACATTGTCTCGGGAGGATAGTTTGAAGAGGATTTAGTTCTTTTCCTCCTGTCTTCTAAGTTAGCTTTATTTTATGGTTTCTATAGTTAACTTGAGTGAGTTGCAATGCCCTATGAAAAGCATGCCTTATACAGTAATAGAAAGAGCTAGAGTAAATATCCCTTCACTTATTTAAATGGTTCCAAGTAAAAGAATTTAGAGTCATTGCATTTTCATGCTGTTTTTCCATTCACTGCCTGAAATAGAGTGGAAAGTTGGAGGCCCTGTGAACAATCAGGCCTCAGAACTAAGTTGGTAATATGTAAGTGCATTCAATTACACTCTAAGTTTAGTATCCAAAAAGTATACACTCTCCCTTATTTTAAATGTACCTTCCTAGTGTCTATAATCCTTTACCGAATTATCAAAAGATTGTAGATATTTAATGCAGTTTAGAGGCAACTCCAACTCTATAAAAAGTTTTAAGTTTAAAAAATAATTAAAATTTTGATTTATTCTGATTTTTAAAATACATAGTTGTTTATATACAATAACGATAAATCAAATTCACATACTACTGTTGAATATTTTGAAGAAAAATATGATTGCTGAACCATCCTTCTCTTTGCCTGATAACAAAATCTTCGAATTCCTCACAATTCCTACCTAGACTCAACTTCCCATGGCACCAAAATTAAATTTGCTTTTTCTGGGTATTTCTAAGAACTCCCTAAACATGCCATTCCCAGGCTTAGGCTGCTTGATGTTTTTACCCCAAACAAGTATCTCCCACAACCTGACTACCACCTCTCAAGCATGTTTATAAAATGAAAGAGCCACAAAGAGATGGTTCTCTGCTGGACTCTAGAACCATAGTACACGCACTTGTGAAATCAAAGCATATTTCTTCACAGGATGTTGAGAATGGTGTCCATGTACCTGCTAACTCTTCTGCTGATGAGTAATAGCCTAATTCTTTCCTGAGATACTTGTTGATGGTATTCATAGGAAGCACAGTGGCTGCTCATATGAAGTAGATTCTGTGCCATTGTATGATTGAAGGAATTGAATGGGCTCCCATGATGATGAAATATTTGTTCAGAAAAGCCAGTAATGAAATGGGTACCTTGTCAGTGGGTGATTAATGTTTTTGAGAGGGCACGTTAGTGAGAGCTAACAGTTCTTGTGGTTGGGTGGCTGGATTATATACAGACTACAGGTTGCCTTGAGCAGATATGGAGGTCATAGATACAAGGACCATAAAGCCCAAAGTTAGACCCATCATTTTTCAACCAGGTGACTGTGCAGTTCACAGTCACTGGAGCCTGAAAATCTGTGGTTTGAGTAAGAACTGGATAGGAACAGAATGAGGATTGAAAATGATTGGTCTAATTAATCAAATGAGAGGATGAAGGGAGGAGACAAACCACCATTTGCTATTTTTCTTTATTCGTATTTTAGCCATTCCAGTGGGTGTGAAGTGGCATCTCATTGTGGTTTTGATTTGCATTTTTTTTTTTAAAGATTTTATTTATTTATTTGACAGAGAAAGACACAGTGAGAGAGGGAACACAAGCAGGGGGAGTGGGAGAGGGAGAAGCAGACTCCCTGCCGAGCAGGGAGCCCGATGCGGGACTCGATCCAGGGTCTCCAGGATCATGACCTGAGCCGAAGGCAGTTGCTTAACCGACTGAGCCACCCAGGCACCCGCATTTTCTTTTTGACCAGTGACGTTGAACATCTTCTCATGTATTTGGTGGTCTTTTGTATATCTTCTTCAAGAAATGTCTATTCAAGTCTTTTGCACCTTTTAATTTGTGTTGTCTTGTTAATTTATAATACTTTATATCTTCTTTATGTTAAACTTTTATCAGATATATAACTTATAAGGATTTTCCCATTCCCTATGTTATCTTTTCTGTTTCTTAATATTCTTTGATGCACAAAAATTAGAAATTTTTATGCCATCCAACTTATCAGTTTTTTTTTTTTTAATTTGGTGTAAAATACAAGAATCCACTGCTAAATCAGAGCTCATGAAGATTTACCCCTATGTATTCTTCTAAGAGTTTTATAGTTTTACAACTTATATTTAGGCTGTTAATCAGTTTTGAGTTAATCTTTGTATATGCATTTAGGTAGGGATCTAATTTCATTATTTTGCATGTAGTTACCAAGTTTTGGCACTATTTATTTAAGAGACTATTCTTTCCCATTGAATAACTTGGTCCCCTTGGAAAAATTCAGTTGACTATACTTGTTTGTCTTATCTCTGCATTCTGGAATTGTGACTCAAGACTGCAATATCAACTTCTACCTGAATTTCCAACCTGCCAGCATGCCCTGCATATGTGCCAGCACCCTCCACCCCCATCTTGCAAAAAATGTCCAAAAGATCTCAATATAGATAGATAGATAGATAGATAGATAGATAGATAGATATCATATATCTATATCCATATCTATATCATCTCCTGTATCCCAATTTTTTTTTTTCCCCTGGATAAACCTGACTAAAATATCCTGTATTTATTGAATCACTTCTCTCTTGCTACTTTCAAGATACACTCTTTGGCTTTGATGGTCAACAGAGAGTTTCAAATGTCTTGCCCCTCTCCCCCACCTTCTTCTGAAATTCACATAATGTGTATGTTGGTACCTTTGATGATGTCCCATAGGTCCCAACTCTGGTCATTTTTCTTCATTCTTTTTTTCTTTTGTGTTTCTTTGTGTGCTTTGTAATTTTTTATATTTGTTGATAACTGAATATATTGAAAATTATATTTGGTAATGTTAGAAATCAGATTTTCTCTGTCCCTAGTGTTTGCTGTTGTTTTTCGAGAGCTACAGTCATCCAGCTCACCTTGGTTTAGTGACCTTTCCAAACTATTTTTGCAATGACTGTATTCCTTGTTCTGTGTGGTCACTCAAATCTCTGTTTCATTAACTTGGTGGTCACTCAGTAACCTCAGAGACATCTCCTTAAATGTCTGGATTCAATAATAAAAGCTAAATAAAAAACTATTCTTCCTTTTTATTTTGATAGATGCCTTCCAAGAAGTCATTTCAGCCCAGTGTGGTGAAACAATGTTCAGCCTGTATACCTGTGAACCTTCAGACTGGTCAAAACACACAACCCAAATTTTTGGAGGACAAGGTCTTTATGTTCACTGTGGCACCAGTGTACCACATGGAAGAATGCAAACAACCCTCTCCAGTACGGTCTGCCATAGGCTAAGAATTAGGCCATGCTACGTAAAACACCAAAATTCAAAATACACCAGTTTCTTTCTTCAATAAGCACTCCCCTAGACACTGCAAGTGTTTGACAAGATAACAAATTTCTGAAATAGTTTATACTGACAGCTCTTGCTAGCTCAATAGTTATTTAAGTGGAGGAACTGATTCTTAGAGCTTCCTACTCCACCAAATTGTTTATAATTTATATCTGTTATAGATTATGACAGATAATAATTATATATACCATATTTATATATAATATGTAATAAATCATTAATATCTATAATCATCATTAAGCTGTTTCATAGTATAATTTTTGTGGGTTTTAATTTGTATCTGTCTTTTACTGTTTTTGTTTTTGCCCAGATTTCCACATACATACTTCCTCACTGCATGATCTCCCTGTGTCTGGTTTTTTATTTTACATCTCTTAACAGTTCTTCTTCATATATAATCTGTTAGAATTGTGTGTTTTCTTGTTTTATAGGATATGTAGCTTTATTTTCTGTTTTTCCTTCATTCCTTTATTCACAGTGTATTTTAGCCTGGGGGAATGGGCAAAAACATCACTTCTTTTCTATCTTAATTGAAATCCCAAATCAGAGTCTTCAATACTGGATTTTAAAAAAAAATTTTATCCTTGGCATGATTTAATAAAACAGAAACATTATTTTTAGGGGCTAAAAAAGGCAATAAATTTAAATTTAACATGATATTTTTGTGCTTGAAAATATATAGAAATCATCATCTTTTCATAGTAATGGTAATTTATCCAGTAGATAATACTTTTCCTACATGCATATCATAACACAGATAAGCATACACAAGTTATGGTAATTTACTTCAGGTATGGACTTTAGAGAAGAAATTACATTTTCAAGTATTTCATTTTGATGATATAGCTGTACAAATTATCTTGTAATATTTTCATTACTCATACATAATTTATTTTATTTTTTCTAAGTAAAACAAGGACTCACTGAAATCCTCAGACTTAATGGAAACACAACTTTATAATAGATACCACAAGGCTTTTCTGTGGGCACTCCTAATTTAACTGCTAAATTTATGTTAATATTAATTCATGTGTCTTTGAAGGTCACAGAAAATACCTTCTTCAATTTTATTTTCTACTCAACCAGTCCAAAATGGATATTGAACAAATTTGCTATAGAGCTATTATCTTGAGATTAGCATTTCTTGAATTTATATGCTACCATAAATAGATTTTTTAAAGACTTAAATTACTAATGTTACAATTCTGTATCTTAACCTTTCTATCTTTCCAGTTCTAAATCATCATCATGGCTTATATAAATATCTGGTCCTTAAGACAGTAAAACATAGTCTGAAACAAATTTATAATGTTTTGGGTAGATCTATCTATATAGTTAGAGGATTTTGTAAAAATAAAAAGAAACATTACTTTCTTTAGGAATTCAGACAAAATCTGTGAAATTGAACATAATATAATGTTAAAATATTTTGATTACTTGGGGAGATTTATAAGTTCCTGCTACCTTTATTACCATAATTCCTTAATTTTAGATAATGGTAAATTATTTATTTATTTATTTTTTAAAGATTTTATTTATTTATTTGAGAGAGTGAGAATGAGAGAGAGTACATGAGAGGGGGGAGGGTCAGAGGGAGAAGCAGGCTCCTCGCCGAGCAGGGAGCCCGATGCGGGACTCGATCCCAGGACTCCAAGATCATGACCTGAGCCGAAGGCAGTCGCTTAACCGGCTGAGCCACCCAGGCGCCCAGCAATGGTAAATTATAATGTGCTCTTCTCAGCATCTTTGGAAAAATAAATGTTGAGACTATAACCCAATTTTTTAAAATATCTTTAACTGTTTTAAAGAAAGTGTATTTTAAGAGTAGATTATAAAAGTATAAGGTAAGGTCTTTATGAATTTACAGAAAAATATAATTTCAGCACATAATCAAATGCAGTTTCTAAAGAGGAGTGTTGCCAAAGGTCTTTCTGAAATAATTTTGCAATAGTGAAATCCCCTTTTGGGATCAGCAAATGATGTTCCTTACCTCCTAAAAACAGACAATTGAGGTCAATGCCTCCCTCAATTCATTTTTTTTTTTTTTTTAAGATTTTATGTATTTATTTGACAGAGACACAGCGAGAGAGGGAACACAAGCAGGGGGAGTGGGAGAGGGAGAAGCAGGCTTCCCGCGGAGCAGGGAGCCCCATGTGGGGCTCGATCCCAGCCTCCCTCAATTCAGAAGATTTAGATTATCAGTAGAATTATTAATGACAGTTTTTCATTCATTCAGCAAATACATACCTATGTGAAAAAGAGGTGGGTATATCTGTTACGGGAATTAAAAGAGATACCATTTTTTTAATTTAATTTTTTATTTTTTTAAAGATTTTATTTATTTATTTGACAGAGAGAGACACAGCGAGAGAGGGAACACAAGCAGGAGGAGTGGGAGAGGGAGAAGCAGGCTCCCCGCAGAGCAGGGAGCCCGATGCGGGACTCGATCCCAGGACCCTGGGATCATGACCTGAGCTGAAGGCAGTCGCTTAACCAACTGAGCCACCCAGGTGCCCTTTTTTTTATTTTTTATTAAAGATTTTTATTTATTTATGTGACAGAGAGAGACACAGCGAGAGAGGGAACACAAGCAGGGGGAGTGGGAGAGGGAGAAGCAGGCTTCCCGCTGAAAAGGGAGGCCGATGCGGGGCTCGACCCCAGGACTCGGGGACCATGACCTGAGCCAAAGGCAGATACTTAATGACTGAGCCACCCAGGCGCCCCAAGAGATACCATTTTTTTTTATAATATATTGCATATTGTCCATTGTTCATAGGTATAAAATTAGTTTGCCACTTCATAATCCAAAAAAAGCAGCAATTTTCTAATTCACACAAGAAACATTATTATCATCAGCTATAAGCCATACATATATTTGTCCCAATTTCTATTATCTGAGTTTTCTTTTATCTAGTTTTTTTACCATGTAAAATTTTAGAAAAGAAACTCAATAAATGCATGGATATATGGTCAACTAATATTTGAAAAGGGAACCTAAAATATTCATTGAAAAAAAGCCAGTGTCTTTAATAAATGGTGCTGGGGAGATTGGGTATTTACATGTAAAGAATGAAACTAGACCCCTACCTTACATCACTCATAAAAATTCACTCCAAATGGATTAAAGGCATAAATGTAAAGCCTTACACTGTGAAACTCACAGAAAGAAACAGGGAAAAAGCTTAATGACATGGGTCTTGGCAATGATTTTTTAGAAATAACACCTAAGACACAAGCAACAAAATCTGAAATCAAGGATTACAACAAACTAAAAAGTTCCTGTACAGCAAAAGAAATAATCAGCAAAGTGAAAAGACATCTATAGAATGGGAGAAAATATTTGTAGATCCTATATATCTGATAAAGGGTTAATATTCCAAAATATACAAAGAACTCATAAAAGTCAATTGCAAAAAAAACTTCAATAAAGCAATTTAAAAAATGGGCAAAGGACCTGAATAGTCATTGTTCTAAAGAAGATATTTAAATGGCCAACAAGTATAGGAAAAGGTGCTCAACATCACTAATAATTAGGAGAATGCAGATCAAAACCACCATGAGATAGCACCTCACACCTGTTAAAGTGGCTACCATCAGAAAGACAAGAGATAACATGCTGGTGAGGATGGTTTTTACACTGTTGGTGGGAATGTAAGTTGATGCAGTCACTATGGAAAACAGTATGGAGATTCCTCAAAAAATTAAAAATAGAAATACCATATGATTCAGCAATTTCACTTGTTGGTATTTATCCAAAGGGAATGAAATCACTACATTGAAGAGATATCTGCACCCCCATGTTCCTTGCAGCATTATTTGTTTATTTATTTATTTTTTATTTATTTTTTTGACAGAGAGAGAGAAGCAGGGGGAGCAGGAGAGGGAGAAGCAGGCTTCCCGCCGAGCAGGGAGCCCCATGCGGGGCTCGATCCCAGGACCCTGGGATCATGACCTGAGCCGAAGGCAGACGCTAAACGGCTGAGCCACCCAGGCGCCCCTCCTTGCAGCATTATTTGTAATAGCCAGGACATGGAAACAACCTAAGTGTGAATCAACAGATGAATGGATGAAGACAATGTACTATTCTTCTGTCTGTCTACCTACCTACCTATCTGTCTATCACAACATATATAGCAATGTATAGGGATACCATTAAGCCATAAAAAAGAAAGAAATCTTCCCATTTGGGAAAACATGGGTGGATCTTGAGGGCATTATGCTAAGTGAAGTAAGTGAGACAAATACTGTATGATTTCAATTATATGTGGAATCTAAAATGAAACCAAACTTATGGAAAAAAGTAACAGATTTGTTGTTGCCAGATGTTGGAGATGGGAAAATTAGGTAAAAGTGGTCAAAGAGTACAAACTTCCAGTTATAAGATATACTGGGATGTAATGTACAACATGATGATTATAGCTAACAGTGCGGTATGGTATATTTGAAAGTTGGTAAAAGAGTAGATCCTCAGGCGCCTGGGTGGCTCAGTCATTAAGTGTCTGCCTTTGGCTCAGGTCATGATCCCAGGGTCCTGGGATCGAGCCCTACATTGGGCTCCCTGCTCCGCGGGAAGCCTGCTTCTCCCTCTCCCACTCCCCCTTCTTGTGTTCCCTCTCTCGCTGTGTCTCTCTCTCTGTCAAATAAATAAATAAAATCTCTAAGAAGAGTAGATCCTAAAAGTTTTCATCACAAAGAAAAAAAAAACTGCAACTCTGTGAGGTGATGGATGTTAACTAAATTTCCTATAATTATTTTGCAGTATATATGCATGTCAAGTCATTTCATGCTGTACACATTAAACTTATACAGTGTTATATATCAATTATATCTTAATAAGCCGGAAAAAAAGAAACCCAAGGAAGGAAGAATTACCTTTCTTTAAAGACAATTTAGGGGGGCTCCTTGGTGGCTCAGTTGGTTAAAGACAATTTAGGTATAACAGCATGATATAACAACAGCAAACTTAGGGTAAATATAGCTTCACTTGTATTTATGTATTATATCACTGACTAGTTTTTAAAATTACCATGGAATGTTGATCAACTAAAATTAATATATTCTTTAATTGTATCAACGTTAGTCAAGTAATTTGTCAGTCAAAAATATTCATCTCCACTGCCACTGCTCTATTTAAAATCAATCACCAGCAATGAAGTACAATCTAAGCTAATTAATTTGACATAAAACCTTCCGCAACTGACTCTTGTCTCCTTTTTCAGTTTCATCTCCTACTCATTACTCATCCCCCAACCACTGAAGAACTAAATATTTCTTATTTTTAAGAATAAGATGGTTAATTACTTCATTTCGGCAGACTTTCCTAACAGTTGCTGATACCAGGAGAGAGAACACAACTACTCCTGTATATTACCATGACATTTATCAGGCTATACTGCACATCAGCCTTTGTTTTAATTTGCGTAGTAATAGTTTCATTGAATAGAAAGGTAATGTGATCTTTTTTCGTTATCATCATCATTGCTATTATTGTAAGGCATCACTTGCATCCTCTCAATCAGGCCCTGAAAAATAATAAATAAACCATTAAATATTAAGATAGGGTCAGTGAATACATGCAGCTATTTTTAAAACAACATTAGCATCAGCAAAAACAAAAACATACAAAAGTTGTAAAAGTCTAACCGTGTTAGTGAACATATACATTTTTGTT